TAATATGGTAATTTATTTATTTAATTCAAATAGTTAGGAAGAATTAGATGTACAATTGTAAACAGTGTGATTTTGCTCTACCTACTATTAATGCGTACATTAATCACTGTCGTTTACATTCTATGGAACCAAGATTCAGGGTTGCATGCTGTGTTTCTGGATGTTTTCAAAGCTTTTCTACTTTTTGGAATTTAAAAAAACATATCTACGGCAATCATGGTCAAAATAAGTTTAATGCAAGATTAACTTCTTTAAATAATAAAGTTTTTTCATTGTCTTGCCAAATTCCTATGTGTGGTGCGAAATGCAAGGATCAAACTGCATTGTTTATTCATTTAAAATACCATATTAGGGATGGTACAGCAATTCAATGCCCATATGTTGGTTGCAAAGCAAAATTTAAAATTTTTTTATCCTTTACTAGCCATAAATCTAGGAAGCATATGAATTCTTTTGCTACAAATATAAGTGAGTTGTTTGTGGGAAATAATAGAGACATAAATGAATCAATTGGAGATTTGTTACTTGTACCTGATATTGTTGACACTGAAGATAATCAAAAAGAAATCGATGGAAATAATGTACATTTTCAAGTAGAGTCTTTTACAAGAGCCTTGGTTTAATTTTATCTTCAGTTACAAACTAAATTATTTTTATCAGTGTCTACAATTGATATAATAGCAAAAGAACTACAAAATATTAATTACATGAAATTTAGTCATATATTAACATCAATTGCAGAAAGGATGCATATTTTTGGAGCAAGTGCTGATCAAATCAAAGAAACCATAGCTTTAGTGCATAAGAATAATCTGCATAATACGTGTCATGGTGAAAATGGTCCTCTTCGTTCGAAGCATACTCGTCAAATATTTTTTAAATATTTGACGAGTATGCTTTTTCCAATTTTCCTTATATAGCACCTAAGATAATCAAACTTGGGCGAAACCGACTAAACAAGATATCTTATTGCAGCTATGTATCAGTTGTAGATGTTCTTAACAAACTTTTATTAGATAAATCAGTTTTACTGCAAATTGAAAATAGTAGTCCATCCGTGAAAGGAGTTTACTCAGATTTTACAGATGGTAGAGTAAATGTTTTGAATATACAACATAATCTCATTAGTTTAATACTTTTCCAAGATTTTGAAGTTTTTAATCATGTAGGCTCTGCTAAATCTAAACATCAACTTTTAGGTGTTTATTTGATGCTTGGAAATCTTAATGTGCAACACAGGGCAAAAACAGATAAACTACAATTGGTGATGTTAATTAAGGAGATAAATTTCAAGTTGTTTGGACAAAAAAAGATATTTGATCCTTTAAAGGATCAAATATCTTTTTTTGTCCGAACAACTTGAAATCTATCTCCTTAATTAACATCACCAATTGTAGGGATCTTGTTTATCTTGAGAAAAGGATCTTGTTTATCTTGAGAAAAATGGTGTCATCATAAACAATGTTCAAGTACCAACTATTTTGTTTTCCATTGTTGGTGACAATTTGGGAAGTCACACCATTGGTGGTTTTGTTACAAATTTCAGCACAGGAAAATTTTTTTGTCGTTATTGTACATTAGATAGACAAGCTTTTGATGAAGGAAAATTTTGTGCTCAAAATGAGTTGTATCGCACTTCTTTATCATACCAAGATTCTGTCAGTATGCTCAGTGATGAAGATGTGTCTGTAGAGGGTGTAAAGTTTAACTCTGTCTTTAATGTTTTAAAATACTATAATGTATGTAATCCTGGTTTACCTCCATGCCTTGGACATGATCTTTTTGAAGGTATTGTTAGCTTTGATTTGCCAATATTTTTGACATACTTCATTAAGAAAAAGAAATGGTTTAAATGGGATTGTTTGAACAAAGCAATTCAAAACTTTCATTATCTTAATTTTGATTGTGCTGTTAAACCTTGCCCACTGAAGCCAATCAGTAACCATAAGTTGTGTGGCTCTGCTTGTCAGATCTGGTATTTTTTACGGCTTCTCCCACTTCTAATTGGACAGTTTATAAATGACAGAGCAGACAAAGTATGGGAACTAGTTATTCTTTTAAGACTGATATATATGTTCAATATGTGACGGCTCCAAAAATTAGTGAAGGACAAATTTGCTACCTCAAATGTTTAATTGAAGATTATTTGACACTACGACATAGTATTTTCCCAGATATAGCTTTACGCCCTAAGCATCACTATCTTGCACACTTTTCAAGCGTGCTATTCGTCACAGTCCAAACTTCATCAACATTACATCAACACTTAGTAAAAAGCATCAACTTTTACAAGCATACAATTCTTCCATTACTCTTTTTTCCAATGAAGTTATAGTACACAAATCCCATCCTCTTTTATTTTCCACATACTCAAATAGCATTGGTGATGCAATTCATAACTGTGGTTTGCACAATTATTCTCAGGTTTCAGTGAAGATTGAAATTAAAGGCACCTTATACAAATCTGGTATAATTGTAGTTTTAAGCGAATGCGAATTAAGTGTTGTTGGGGTTGGTGTCATTGTGCTCGTACTTGTCAATAATAACCAGCTTCCTCATTTTTTAGTTCAAAAAAAAGAAGCGCATTATTTGTCTGAGCTTGGTATCTTCTAGATTTTAGAAGATTCTCCAACTGAGCATTTATGCATAGCATCAGAAAGCTTATACGACTATTATCCGCTTTCAGCTTATATAGTGAACAATGCAAGTTTTTTTGTTTTAAAACATCAGTTATTTGATAAGTAGTAGAAAAAGCTGGTAATTTTTGAGACTTTTAATGTTAAATTATTTTACATACTTTAATGTTTGTTTTTTCCTATTTTATTGAAACAGTACTTAGCAAGAAAAAAAATTTTGAGCTTATTCAAACTCCAGCCCTCCCATTTATTAGGCTCTCCTCCAACCCCCTCCACCTGTTATTTAGATTTTAGACAAATTTCTGATCCTCTTGTTTATTAAGACTACCCCGTTTATTTTATATTTATTTGTTTGCTTCTTGAATTACATCCTTTTAATTTTATGTTTTTTTTTATGATCATTATTGATCTTTTATGATTTTTATGATCCTTATTGATCTTTTATTGATTTTTATGATCATTATATTTTCTATCAATTATATTGATAATTTCTGATAATTAATTTTTTTCATATTTGTTATTAAAGATATTATAACCTGTATATATTTACATATATAAATTATGCTATAATATTTTCAAAAATAAAGTGTTTATTGTTACTATTATTGAATAAATTGCTCAGTTTTCAATATTATTAAAATAAAGTGGTCAAATTTGGAATTTAAAGAAATGTATATAATTTCGATTTACCATGGTCTATTCCAGGTTCCCACTAGTAATTGACCGGGGTTGATATTTGACCGGGCCGGGTTCGATAAAACATAGCCAGGGACAAAACATCATCTCATCATCATCATCATCTTAATCATTGTCATCATTATCATTTTCTCTGGTACACACTATAAATATAAGTACTACTCTCAAACTCTCTCCAAGATCATTGCTTCTTTTCCTATCTTTTAAAAACACCATATATCCATCTGATCTATTTTGTTCTCTCCAGATGATGAACATCACAAACTTTAATTCCCAATGTCAATCCCATATAGCACTCTGGATGATTCTTATATGAACCCATTTTTTACAAACTCTACAAAAAATGTGTGATCAATCTCCTTTTTTCAAAAGTTTAATTTTTAATATAAAGTTTTGATTTATAAAAAGGAAAATAAACAAATAATGATTAAGGGTTTGTACCTTGTAGGTACAAAGTACAAGTATTTGTATTTCATTTCCCCTGATTTCCCAGGTTGCTGGCCAATGGTCAACGACCTAGATATTCTAGAAAAGTCAGTGGCCACTATTTAATAAATTGTTTATTTGAAATTTTTAAACAAAGTTAATAATTTAAAGGAGTATATAAAATTGCTAACAATCAGGGAATTTTAAAATATCCTTAAACAAATGTCATAGAAGAAATTGATTGTAAAGTTGCATTTACATTTAAAATGTAAGTAACTTTTTAATTGTTATTTGAATCATTAGAATTACATAGTTGAACTATTGATAGAATTAATAAATACTAGAAAATAATTGAAATTATTTTTGTTAAAACTATTTAAAAAAATTTTAATTTAAAATATTGGGAAAAAAAATTAATAATAAAATAATAGTATTAATTTGATAACATTTTAATTGATGGTTTAATTGCATTTAATAACTGTGTCTGACTTTTAATGTCTGATTTTTCAAATGTTTGGCATTGCATAAACATTGGCATTAAATAATATGTATAGAAAAAAGCTTTTAAAATTAGTATTTTAAAACTTTTGTTCAACAGGAAGTCAATTTGTCTAACTTCCTTATTATTGACTAGTAATACAGAGTATTCATTAAAAAAAAGGCAATTGTCTGTAAAGGTTTCCAATATTATTAGTTTAATACTGTTATTATAACAACATTATGCTGTTATAATAAGTAAATTGTCTGGCTTACTTTTTTTTGACTGGTATAAAAAGAGCAACTTTATCATCCATATTTTATTGAAGCCATCTGCAAAAAGTTTAAGGTCTATACTTTTTTTTTTACAATAAATATAATCTTTATTTATTAAAGTTATTAACAAATGTAATATAAATAGTAATATTAGTTATAAAAAAAGGAAAGTAATTAATTAACTATGAAATCTATAATGTCTTTGTCATATGTCATTTTTTGTTTTTTTATTAATTAGTTTTTATTCTTAATTAATAAAATCTTGTTTTTGTATTGAGCTATGATAAAACTTATTTGTTATGTATACATAATATGTATGTAATATATATAGTATAAAATTGCTATATATAGATACATATTATTAATCATAAAATGGCATTATGTGATGTTAGATGTATTTTTATATTTACTTTTAAAAAAGCTCTGTTAGTTATTGATGTTCAATTAATTATTTATTTGTATTTATAATTCATTATATGTAATTCATTTTGATTGTAACTTTTAGAAAAAAATCCTACTATAGCAAGTTTTCCTCAGGTTCATGCTTTGGTTCCGGTTTCAACCCAACCTACAATTACAAATGTTCCTACATCTGAATCTTCCAGTGTTATAATAGACAATTGGGCTGATGTTTTTAAAGTTCCCTGGGAAAAGCTGCCAGCTGAAATCATGGATTTACTCCACAAAAATGCTCCTCTTTTGCCAAAACAGAAAAGTACAATGATCAGGGTCTTTTGTGACCATATTATAAAAATTACAAGAAAACCAGGTCGTAAAAATTTGGAGAAAATTGCATTTCAAATAGTTAAAAAATATCCCATTTCTCTTGAGGATAAGTTTGAAAATCAGAGAGTAGGAACAGGAACCAGCTCTATTGTGAAAAAACTAGAGGCTCGTGTTGAAAATGTTAATAAGCTACAAGCTCCAAATCCATTAAAACGAAACTTTGCTGCTGAAAGTTATGCAATGGATGAAGAACCAAAATAAGCAAAAGTCAGACCAAAAGATTCTTATGGATGCGTTGATTGGCTGCCAAGACTTGATGGAAATGAAAATGAAAAAAGTCAGGACAAGCATATTGGGTGGCTGCAAGATCATCACAATTTGCCCTCTTTATTGTGGAATGTTTATGAAATAGAAAGGCTACGTTCTTTAACTTATCCTTCACAGCGTGCTGATATAGTCGGATTAAATGCACTGAAAATAGTATCGTTAGTGGCTAAATGGTCATTTTTATTTAAAGCCAATTGGTTTTTACATCATTTTAAAACATTGACTGGAGTTGACATAGCTTTTATATTTGAAGAAAATCTTAAAATTAAATCTACCATAATATTCGAATTTTTGCAACACCAAAAAGAAATGCAATTAGCCATAAATTAAATGATATTAGCTGGGCAAGGTAATGTGTTAGCACCACTTGTTGCTGCAATTTTGGGCATTTGCCAGTTTTTTAAAGAATCTTCCAAGTTTTTGTTTCATCAGACTATGGTAAATATTTTTTCCATTAATTTTTTAAATTTTATCTTCCTTGATTGAAAAAGTTAATACAGTTTAATATATTTTGTTCATATTTTATCAGTAATATTTTATCAGTGATATATTTATGTGATGTTATAATACTTGTAGGAGCATGCAAATGTGGATGATATTGAAAAGGACATTACTCTTCCACTTTCTCCTTGTATTGTTTTTGCTGGTAACATCATTTTTGCTACTAATTGTTTACTAAATTTATTGAATTTATTTATAGATATAGATTTTGTTTTCTTAATGTTAGGAAATTCCACATTGCTATGCTTGTTTTTCTTAAAAAAAAAAATGAGAATTTTTGAATTTTTTTTACCCATATAGGAACTTGCATATTCAAGTGTAATAGTTTTTACTAGGTTGTTG